ATTCCATGCTGTTGTTGGATGGAGGGATGGCGCCGTCCAGGGGGGGGCATTGGGTTGGTTAGACAAGAGGGCCGAGGTCGGGTCGAGGAGAGAAACGAGGAAACAAGCACGATGCAGACAGAGAGACAGAGAGACCAGAGAGACAAAGCACTGACGTAGGATGCTTTCATCGGGTCCACCTCGTTCCCCCGCGTTAGCGGGGACCTCAGTCAGCACGCTGTAGCCACTGGAATTTCCGTACCCACCATCTGAGGACGCTGCCCCACCTGCGATGGCTGGAGCTGCCTTGGACGTCTGGGCCGGCGCTCGCCATGGCTGGCACTGCTGATCCCATCCGTCTTAATTTTCGGATCGTCGCCTTCTTGGCTTTTTGTCCTACCCCAAGCCTGGGCTTCCTTCCTCCACCGCCTCTTCGCCCTCCTTCCTCTGTCGCCTCCATCCTGCCATTGACGGCCAATCGATGGTCGATCGCTCCTCATCAACATTGCCAACATGTCCGACTCAGGTACCATCACCTCTGAAGAGCAGGCCCGTCGTGCTGTCATCGCTGAGCATCTTCCCGCTGGCTATGGCACCGGCTTCGACGCCAACTTGGCCGGCTCTCCCGAGCAGTCGAGACACGCTTCCCACACGGAAGTGAACGAGATGGACGAGCCGCAAGAAGAGTCCTCTCTGCTGCTGCAGGGTGGCGACATCCACAGAAGTCTCTACAAGCTGGACGCTCGCGAGCGGACTCCCAGCATCCGCCGAGCCCAGACCTTCTCCCACCCTCACCGAACCCTCGACGACGATGACGAATCGGTTCTCCCCGCCGACGAGATGTTGCAGCCTCAGGGCTTCCGACGTCAGTTTGTCCTCCAGAAGCACGGCGGCGTCGCCGGCGCCAACCTGCCCATCACCAGAAACTTTGTCGAGTTCCTTGACCTATACGGCTCCTTTGCCGGCGAGGACTTGGCCGATTCGGACGACGAGGCCATCGAGGATGATGAAGAGGAGGACGCAGAACAAGCCGGGGAGAGGCGGCCTTTGCTGCCACGCCGCAAGTCGTCTCGTCACGTCCGAGCCGGCGATGCCAGCACCATGCAGACCTTCTTCACGCTGCTGAAGGCCTTCATCGGCACCGGCATCATGTTCCTGCCGAAAGCGTTCAAGAACGGCGGCATCCTCTTCTCGTCCCTCACCATGGTCGTGGTTGCCGCCATATCAATGGTGGCCTTCCATCTACTTCTCCAGTGCCGCGCTCGCTTCGGTGGAGGTTATGGCGACATCGGCCGCGAGATTGCTGGTCCCCGCATGCGAACACTGATCCTGGGGTCCATCACCCTTTCTCAGCTTGGTTTCGTGTGCACAGGACTCGTTTTCGTCGCCGACAACTGGTTCTCGTTCCTCAAGGCCGTCACCCATGGAGCCAACCCCTTGTCTTCGACAGCCCTGATTGCCATCCAGGCTCTGATCATGGTCCCGCTGTCGTTCATCCGCAACATCTCCAAGCTCGGCCCTGCCGCCCTGCTGGCTGATGTCTTCATCGTCATTGGCGTTGGCTACATCTGGTACTTTGACATTTCGGCCCTCTCCGCGCACGGCATCCACGAGTCTGTCAAGCTGTTCAACCCGGAAGCATACACCCTGACCATTGGTGCCTCAATTTTCACCTTTGAGGGCATTGGCCTGATTCTGCCGATTCAATCCTCGATGAAGGAACCCGAGCACTTTGAACGGCTCCTCGGCATGGTCATGTTGCTCATCACCTGCGTCTTCACCAGCGTCGGCGCAATGTGTTACGCCACCTTTGGCTCCGAGACGAAGATCGAGGTCATTGACAACTTCCCACAGACTCAAATTTGTCAATGCAGTACAGTCATGTACGCACTTGCTGTCCTGGTCGGCAACGCCGACCAGCTCTTCCCGGCGCTGCGTATCATCGAGGGCAAAATCTTCCAGCATAGGTCAGGCAAGAAGGATCTCTTGACCAAGTGGAAGAAGAACGTCTTCCGCACGATGCTCGTCGCCCTGTGTATCGCCATTTCCATCGGCGGCTCCGCCAATCTCGACCGCTTCGTCGCCCTCATTGGCTCCTTTGCTTGCGTCCCGCTCGTCTACATCTACCCGCCTTACCTGCACTACAAGGGTGTCGCCGGCACCCGCAAGCAGAAGCTTTTCGACATTGGCCTCATGACGCTGGGTCTTGTCGGCATGGTATATACGACCGCCATCACCCTCGCCACAAGCTTCCTGTAAGAAACAATTTTGCATCCTCTTTTGCATTGTGCTATTGGTGGCACTGGGCGTTTTCATGTTTTCAACGCGCGTGGGATGGACGGGCTCTGGCGGTAAAACAAAACGGCAGAGAGGAGAGAAGAGCACATGTCTGGATTCATAGCTGGCCAACACATATTCTGTACTTGGGACCCAATGGCAATTGTACTGGTTCGGCTGCGGCGATAATTCTGTGATATGTTGGCCTCCATCTTGTGAGAAGTGTTGGGTGATTGAGGTGAGGGCCGAAATGCACTCTGCGGTTTTCGCCCAGTCTACCTTGACGTCAATGAAACATGCCTCAAGAACGGCAATGGATTCACGTTTTCCGCCTGTGCAGCGGCCCCTCCTGAACCCTCTTGTTCATCCCGCTGCCGAACCGAAGATATTGAGCTACCGATTTCGTGTGTCGTCACTTCGTCAGCGGCTGGACGTGACAACGGCCCGACTTAGACATCGCGCATTATGCTGTATTGTTTCGAATAAATACCACCCCGACGCGCCTCTCGGGCACCTTTCATGGTCGGGCTTTCATGTCTCCGTGCAGCTATCGCCGATCTCGTCGCTCGGCATATGAGTCTTTCGCCGGCGGCAGCTCACGCAAAAGGCAGGTCTCTACGGAGTTTTTCTCGGATCACGTCACAGAGCCCACCGTGAAGCAGTCCACGATGTCGTCCTGGACCTCGGAACCCCTCCCACGTCCCGCCCAACTCGCAAGGTGGCTTAGCGCCCGCTGGTGCCCTGAGATGCCTATCTCGTCCCCA